GTTACTTTATATATCTGTTATAAAAATTAAGTAATTATGATTGCTTTTATGGGATATATATATATATTTGTAGAGGTCTTCAGACTCTGTACACATTATCTGGCTTTTATTACACCCTAAAACAACTTTAATAAACTGTTGTTGAGGCACCCAAATTTAATTTAAAATCAGTAATATGGTTTTTTTCAGAACTTGAACAATTTCGTCTTACCCTTACACCCATCAAAATACTTTATTTAATTAATTCTCTCTATTTCCTATTTTCTTTAAGAAACCCGAGACCTTTGAGGAAGAAAAAACAAGATAAGTGAAAAACCTCTGAATACAGACTGCCTTCTTATCTCCACTCCTCAATTTCTGCGACAAAAGACAGGGGAATAAGTTAATGCAACTACCGAATTTCCCAGCGCATAGCTTTTCTCTTCTGCCCACTTGTGTGGGCACTCTGAAGAGCTTTTCCAGCAAACGCTCTCAAAACAATGTCAATGCACTGTGCACCTGATAAGAGTTGCAGCTGAAAGTTTAGGGTTTCTGCTGGCTGTTCCGCCGCTGCGACCAACTAACTCAAGGTAAACAAGCGGGCTGCCAGCGACTTGTTGCTATCTTCTATCTTCTATCTGGGCTTGGAGCTCGTCGCTTTGCGCTGGGCGTCGTTAAATTATTTTCTTTACTGCTGCGGCATGCTCTTTATATGGCTTTCTGATGACACAGTCGCGGCGATAAGGAGGAGGGAGACTAGTCCGGGAAAAGCTGAGGCAGCGCGAAGTGCAACCGGAGGCGCCTGCGAAGGCGTCGGGTTTCCGCTTCGATCCGGGCTATTGAATATTCGCCAGCTCCCTTATTTACAATTTCCGCCAACTCGGCACTTCGAAAGGTGAATCTGCGACTGTCAGATACAGACAATTAATCACTTGGTGATCTCCGAAGCTCTTTCTCGAAGCTGACACACGAAAAGTTTGCCAGTGAGTCACACTCCACACAGAGAGTGGACATTATAAAGACTCTTCAGAGATATCTCTTTGAACTCATGCTGCAAATATGCCGCCGAAAGTCTGACCGAGCTCAGAGTGCTCTCTGGTGGAGTTGGAAGTTTGAATTTTGGTATGCGGGAGTCAGAATGTCTGAAGTTTTGTCTCTGAAAGTTTGGTGGCTATCACATAAGAGATCTCTGAGTTCCGATAGTATACTATAAACAAATGAGCTTCTCTATCATTCTAATTGATACTACTAAAGTTCTTCGGATACTATTAATAATTATATGAAACATAAAAGGTACTTAAAATGTAAAACAAAATGCAAAATCTACTTTAAACCAACCTAATCGAAACTAAATAGTCACTCTTTGTTTGAGCAACTTATCTGCTTGCTTTACTGAAGTATTCTTAGATAATATTGATGGTTAAATGTCATTACACTGGATTTACAATCAAACAAGAATTACTCATCGAGTACAAACCCAGAATTTCCTTTTTACTTCATTGTCCCACTTTGATAGCCAACTGTGATATGCATAGGTAAGGTTATGAACTCGAATCTTTCAGACCCAGGGCTCTGCCATTAGTTTTGCCTATAAATAGAGCTGGGAAAGCAAATGCCTTGCCCATAAATTCCACCAATGCAGCATATCGAAAACGCTGCTCCATTCGAAACGATAATGCTCGACTTAATTACACACGAGGGTTGCGATGCACAGGGGGTGCAGACAGCTGGCAGACGACGCGACTCGCAGTGCCACAAATGCACTTAAGTTTTCTTCGCTCTGGGCTCTGCTTTTATTTTCGGGGAGGAAGTCGTGGCATAAGGCACACATCACTGCCAGCGAAAAGGGAGTCCTTTTGCGCGATTGAGCAAAGGCATGCCACATATTCCATGTTCACTAAATTTATGGGAATTAAATGATATTTATTAGGAAAGATGGAAAGCAATATGGCAAAGGAAAATCAATAAAGAAAGCTTTAGGGAACTTCATATAATTTGTGGTAAAACTTGCTTAATCATCAAGGAGAACTACATCATATTTCTGTGATTTTCAAAGACATTTCTATTATTATTTACTTTCGACAAATCACAGAAATTGCCACCCTTAGCCAGTGCTCACTGTTTGGGCAATTGCAGGCTAGCTCGCGCCAAAGTCTGGCAGCTGCCGTCTAGAATTCGGAAGGCACAGGATCTGAATCCTTTGCAGGCTCATTCGCTGGCTCAGTCAATGCTCATTCAGCTCTGGGGATAATTGCTGCCAAACGAAGTGACATTTCTCCCTGACAATCCTTTGTGCCTGCTGCTCCTGCTGCCTGGGATTTGGACTCATTCTTCTCCGTCATCTGTAGTTGTACTTGCAGATGCAGTTATAGTTGTAATAGTTGTTGCTGTGCCGTGCAAATTCAGGCAGCTCGACAAACAGACTGAGAGACAGACAGAATTTATGTTTGGAGAGCGGTGACGAAGGAGGTGAATACCACAGAGAGAAAATGTTACAAATTCCAGGGAGAACAGGAAATCCACATTTAGAGAATCTCAGATATAGTTTCTAGCCCAAGGGTTCAACTAATTATTTCTCTGTGTAGTTTCTAAGGCAGATGTGACTGAGCTGAGATGTGAGCACGAGCATTTCGTTAACGTGACAAAAATACATTGATTACATTTTTTTGTGTAGCTGCACTCGTCTCTGGAACTCTGGGAGCTGGGCGCACGTCCGCACACTTGGCACATTTGTCAGAGCGGCACCGCCATGTAAACATCTTGCACGTAGGATACGGGTCCTTGTGCATCCCGGTTACATGGTACACAAAATACGACGGAATCCTCGTGTCGTACGGGGTCTTTGAACTGACAAATTACATTGACAACGAATGGCGGGAGGGAAATTCCTTTCGTTTGCACTCTGAACTTCTTTTTGGCCCCCTAAAACTGTCGCTTTTTATGGAGTTGCTGCTGCTGCTACTGCACACAGTGAAAAGCCTGGGGTCAATGTCACGCCATTTCATATCAATAAAAAGTTAAGCTTAGCTGTCAATAAATAAATAAAATAAATAAATGTCAGCAACAAGACAGTTCTTTGCAAGTTCCACAATCGAAGGGAAACTTGTGTAACTCAAACCCAAGACTGGCATGTGAAAGATTCGGGTCAGAGGATAAGTATAAAAAGGACATTGATTCACTTTGAGGTTGAGTTTGTTTTCAATATGTGTTTCTAATAAAATTTAAGTATTGATTTTTTGGTTTATTTTTTAATTTCAATATATTTTAAATAAGAAAGAAAGGGCAGCCCAAAAATAAGAATCTTTTTGCAGCTTTAATGTATTTTTTTAAAGAAAGTTACGGTTTTTATCTCTAGCAGTTAATTTTTCTTAGTTTTATTACCTTTTTTAAGCATAATATTTGAAAAATACTAAATTTTCTAACTGATTCTAATTGAAAATGTGATAAAAATTAGCAATTTTTCCCAGTGCACATTTCTCAGCATTTGTTTTCGGTTTTAATTTGCTTACGCTGCTATCCAACTCCTCCACCAAGCTCATCCCGACACTTTTAACTACTTTCGCAATTTGGAAATTGCTACAAATTGGCAATAGCAAAAAAAAACAGCACACACAAACACACACCCGTGGGCTGCTCTTAATTTTTTGTTTGTATTTAATTTATAGGTGGGCGATGGCGATCTCTCAACGCTTTATTGGTGTTTGCACCAATTGTTCAATTGCCTAATTGTGGTCGCGTTACAACAGCCAAAAATAAAAATGTGTGCCATATTTGTGTCTTATCGCCGTTGATCGATCTTGAATGAGTCCACATTTACTATATTTACTGGCCCTTCGAAACTTTCGGTTATCTTATCAGGCGGAGAGCGGACAAACTTGCGCAAGTTGGCAAACAAATTTTCGAAACGGAAATTCCTAAGGGTTAAAATTAATCGGCAAACAATGTCAGTAACTCTCTGGAATGGCGCAAAAAATTAGCATTAAATCACAGCCAGAAGAGGAACAAGCGAATCCAATCAAGGAACCAAATCTCAGGCAGCTGCGCATGCGCTCAGGGGAAGGAAAGGTGTGGAGGGGGGGAGAAGATCGCACCTTTGGAAATGCTACCGAACAGCTGGACGGAGGGAGCGAGAGAGAGGGAGACCGGGTGGTGATAAGAAAGCGAAATAGCAACAAAAGCATAAACTACCACCAACTACTACAACAACGAAGGCGACAATGTGAACAATGCGATGCATTATGCGAAGCGTACATATGTACATTATGATTAAACAAACAAGCTGAGAGAGAGGGCGAGAGAGGGTCGGAGAAAGAGAGAGTCGGTTTAGAGAGAGAGCAGCTGCTGATAGTGCTGTCTATACACAGAGAAAAGTTATTGGTTACATCAAATATTATTTGTATTATTTAGAAAAAATTGAAATCATATAAGATAATTTTTTTGTACCTTTATTATCAATATTAAAGATATATATTTTACTTAGCTTTTAGGTTGGCATACATTTTCATATAATATATTAAATAAATTTAATAAATTTAGGTTGGCATACATTTTCATTTAATATATTAAATAAATTTAATAATTTTAAGCTTCTGGCATAAGATCAGTCTGATAAGAATAAATTATTTAAGATTATTTTGTTTAAAAACAATGTAATTACCTAAAGGGCAACGTGTTAGCAAGTTAACTAATATTTATAAATAATTGAATATATTTTTAATAACAATTTTTAAATAACTTCAAACGACAAAAATGCTTTTTCTAAAGATTCTTCATAAAATATTAACTTTAACTATTAATCTTTTCATTTCAGAGTACACTTCATTGACTTTGCCTTGACTTTCTTTTCCCCCAGTGCACCTTACTCACTCAGGTATTGCGACTCTCTGACTCGCTCTCGGGCTCACTCACTCTCTCACTCTCTCTCTCTCTCTCTCTCTCTCGCTGCTGGCCAAGTTACTATTCCCTCCCTTGGAATCAGAAGTCTATAGCTATAGCCTCGTCATTCGCTTGTTAACATTCGAAGAACGCAGACGCAACACACTGCGATCGCCGCGAGTCTTTCTTCGCTCAGTTTCTTCGTTCGGGTTTTACGTGTTTCGTTTACGTTATCGCCTGTGTTTTATCGTTTACCGTTGTGCAGTGTTAAACTATTTACGCTTTGTTTTGTGGGTGCACCACCACCAGCACCTCCACCCCCCTCAGCCACCAAGTGCCAAGTGACCAAAAGAAAAAAATAATAATCAAATGACACGTGCGTGAAATATAAATTTTACTATCATTCAGCGACCGACAATAATAACAACGGCTTTATTTGGGATTACCTCGGCATTCAGAAGAAGAAAACGGTAAGTTTGGGTCACCAAAAGCCGCATTTGGGATGCCAGCCAAAACAGACACATAACTGTTTATGGGCCCCCTTTGACCCCAAAAAAAGCTTATCAATAATAAACACAAATATTTAATACGATTCCGCATACGCCCCTTGTAATTACACGCGCTTTAATACACACTCTATATATGTATATATATTTATTGAACTCATAACCCAAACTAAATGCGACAATATTGTTTTTATTTCGGTATTTTCGAGGACTCTGCTAAGCTTGGTTTTATGACTCAGGAGCGTCCCAGAGTCGTCAGACCGCAAAATGATTGTTTTCTTGGTTATTTTCATTTCTTTCGTCTCGAACGGCTTTCCTCTGAATGTTCTTTATAACGTAGATCCCCCACACATGAGTCACGCACGAGCTTGGGGATACCGAATGGATACATAACTCTGTGGAGATATATACTATAATTGGGGGAGTGGGCAAAAGGTGACTGATCAGGTTGATGGTGAATGAAATGTTCGTGTGGGGTGGTGACTAAGCCCTGGCTTGACATAACATTAATTGGGTTAGGTAAAGGAATACGAATGATATGGGTTGGGAAGTAGTGGATATATATAGTCTAGACGTAATGGTAGTTGAGAATTAATTAAAAATAACCTGCAGCTGTATTGACATTCCTATCTACACTTTAATAAATTAGCTATGATTACAAATAAACGGTTTACATTGTTGATGTGGAAATAATTGATACAATTCTGTATTATCTCTGGGCAGTAGTCACTATAATCACTATTTATTGTTGTTAATGGAATTTGTATAGGTAAATAAAGATATAATTCAATCAGAACAAGAAAGGAAGTTAAATTCGTATACCCTTGCAGAGAAAATCGGTCATAACTAAGCCAAAAATGCATTAATTTCCAATCGCAAAGCTGCTCTCTGCTAGTTTTTAATAGCTTAATAAATCTGCATACTCAAATAGGATTTTTAAAATATTAAAAAAATTTCAAATTTTTCAAGATGTCAAAGATGTAAAAACCTGTTATAAAATTTTGAAAAAATTTTTTTTAATTTAATTTATTTTCTATATGTCTAGAAAGATTCGCCTGTTGATGCTGATCAAGAATATATATGATATATAGGGTCGGAAATGGCTCCTTCACTGAATACTAAGCTTCTGACTGAAATTATAATACCCTGCAAGGGCGATATTTATCTATATATTTATATGACGATTCTCCTATAGCCCAAGGCTTAAAAAACTCATAACTAAACCAAAAATGCATTAATTTCTAATCGGAAAGTTGTTCTGTGCTAGTTTTTAATAGGTTAATAAATCTGCATACCTGTATTTAATTTTTTAAATAATAAAATTTTTATTAATTTTTAAAAATGTTAAAGATGTAAAAACCTGATATAAAATTTAGGAAAAATTTTTTTACATGCCTAGAAAGATTCTCTTTTTGATGCTGATCAAGAATATATATGATTCATAGGGTCGGAAATGACTCCTTCACTTAGTTTCATGTTTTTCACTGAATTTACAATACCCTGTAAGGGTATAAAAATTGGGAAAAACTAAATACATCTATATCTATTTTATTTGTTAGTAATTTATTCCTAAAGGTAAATTCCAAAGTACGTATGTACCTCATTAATTTATGCATTTACTATACCAACAATATATTATTCCCTATTAAAACCCTTCCCCTAACTTGTAATAACACCTCTGAACACAGGATCAAAGACTGCTCTTGGCTGCCGCAGAATTTTCAAAATTCCTCACTTAGCACCACAAGAAAATTCGCATAATTTCCGTACAACCAAAAACCTAATTGCAATAATCAAAGGGAACACTGATTGCACTGATCTAGTTCCCCGATGACGGGGAGAGAGTCTGTGTTCTTTTGCGGTTGAAAGATCTGCGCTCCGCGATTGCTCCATTAGAGTGTTAAACACTGGCCATTACACCGGCCAGCATGAGAGGTGTTATTAGGTTCGATGTGGCCAGAAACCAGTCCCGGAGTCAGTCACCTGTTGCCGCCACTCACTCACTAGCTCACTCTCCAGTCCAGAGATCGATATCAATGACAATTGGTGTCGATGGCAACACAAATATACACACATTTGTATATACATATAAACTCGTGCAACAGCCACATGGCAGCATCTCCGATATGCGGCTACCGTTAGGTTGGGGAAATGCCAAAGCAATGATGATTGTCTAATTGAATGGGATTAATGTTTAATTTGGCTTAGTTTATTGATTTTCCATTGAAGCCGCTGCGATGTGAAATGTCAGACAATGCCGTAAATGGAGCAGAGTAGCAGTGTAAAAAGGGGGGTTTCTAATGAATAAGCTTTGTAATCCGCCGACCGAGTCTGTGTTTATTTTCAATGTGTCAGGTTTGGCAGTTGCAACAATGGCGAAATTCGATTCTATATTGAACAATATAGATGGAATAATTGCACTCACTAAATGGCATTTCGATGCCTCTGGAGTGGGGGCCATTTTTTACATAATTAAATGATTGTTTAAAAACTGATTTATTATTTAATTGTTTGCCACTCGAGCGACAACAATTAATTATGCAATAACAAAAAGATGGCAAATAAATAAATAATAATTTCATTATAATCAATGCAACAGCTGCCAGTGCTAGTGGGGAGTGGTGATGCGGCAATTAAAATTTATTACGCTTATTTTGCATTTATTCCATTTTAATTTGTCGCTTAAATGTCAAAACTATTAAACTGATTATGGCCGATGGCGGGATTAATCATTGAGAGCTTTGCCTTTACATTTTTCCCCATCGATTTTGATCTCGCATTGGGCCTTAACTTTCGGTTAATTAAACTGGCCTACCTCGGTTTTCCCACTGTCCATCCATCGTGTTTCACCAACGACCCCATTCGAGCCAAGTTCAGTTAACACATAACCACCCCGCATATTAACTTAATTATGATGATTAACATTTTCAGTGTAATTCCTGCCACCGCTCTCAATGCAATTTTCAATATTTATTATATATATGTGAGTATTTTAACATGGCCACTATTTAAGCTGACCAGAACATCAATTTATTATTCAATTCGCTCTCTCACATTTCATTTTTCTTTTTTTCTTTTTATTACGAAATAAAATGCCTTTGATAACGAAGCATTATCTCAGCTTTTGTTTGGGTCTTCAATGCGATATGGCGTGAAGTTCCGTTGTTGTCTTTCATCGAATTGCATAAATTATGTGTTCCACTCATTTTTATTTTTTTAAATTTCCAAATTAATTGGCAGAATTTATACTTCTTTCATTTTTGTCGCAAAACTTGTTTGCTAACATCTCTATTCAGCATTTGCATATGAAATTCGTTTGGGTTTTCGGCTTGTGTTGCCTAATTAACCAAGAAGCTAGAACTTGGCTTGAACGATCCTTATTCGAAATTAAATTTACATCAATTTTTACACTATTTAACACACCCAATTAAGTGCAATTTGTGGCCGGCTTTGTTGTAGCTCTTGGGCATTTGTAATGAGGCGTACCTACTCATCTCGTCCCAGCCATTAGTATTTCTCCGGCTTTGGCTACGAACCGGATTGTTAGCTAAACATTTTTTACATTTCGTCTTGCCTACCGCTAATGAGGGGCAGGGGACCCGTCTATTAAAATTACTCATGGCTGGCCATAAATATCGATTAAGGGGGAGGTTTTTCAATCAATTTAAGCGGCAAAAAGGGGGGTGGAGAAGTGGTAATGAGACAAGCGTCCACAAAAAAATTTAAATAAGAAAAAATCTACAGAAGAAAAGTCGCCGGGTCAAGGGCAGTGACAGGGGCAGAGACAGGGGTCCTGAAAAACGCTCCTTCGCCGGCTTCGGTTACTAATCCAATTAGAATTATGCCGCCGGCCGGGAAGTCGCCTTTGTAGGTGTTCCCTAATTAGATTCACGCCGGTCAGGCGGTTTCCTGTGCGTAAAAAAATTAAATTAATATTTCGTCTAGAAATCCAGACATTTTTCATCCAGAAATAGAACGACAATTGCTGGGTATTTTTCCATTTCATTTATTGTTTTCATGAACAAAAACCAAATAAATTGTAAAAAGAAGTCAAAGGTAAAGTGAAAATTACTTTTAATTAGAATCTTCTATATCCAACAAAAGTTAACACAAACTATATTGTTAAGATAAAGCTCTTTAAGGACAGAATAATAAAAAATAAATTAATATGAAACATATATGTTTTTAAGTGAGAAACTACTTCCATTAAATTATTAAAACTATTAAAAATATTTTTAGCAAAAACGAATAAATTATTCAAACATTTTACATCAATTTTACACGAGTCACCAAGTGGCCAGATGGCGCCAATAAAGTGGCTTAACATTTCCTAAAATAACTAAAGCACCACCTTTTGGTTCGGTCGACGATCATATATTTTATAGCATAAAGTAGAACCAATTTTATTCCAAAATATTCTTGAAGATCTTGTGATGGTTTCCATTGAATGTACAAGAATATTTAAAGTTCAAAATATAGTTTAGAAAACATTAAAGAAGCCAACAAATATATATAAACAAAAGGTCAGAAATAGTTTAAAAACTAGTATTATTTTAATACTAAATGTGGAATTTTAAATCGTGACAGCACTGGTCATACTGCGCAAATGACTTACTCATTGTTATCTTGACTTTTATCTCTATTTTCGGGCCACTTTAAAGGAAACTGGTCATATAATAGCCACTTCACTTCTTATTTTTATAACGTCACGAATATTACGCGACATCACAGACTTTGTCTGAATACGTTCTCTACCGCTCTTTATCAATGTTTTGCACCTTTTCATCGCTACACTTCCTGTACCAAATTCTTTTAAAACAACACAGTCACACTGATCGTATTGGACGAGAAATAAAGCTTCGGTCACTCTGATCGCGTAGAAATAAAATATTTTTTGCAAATCGCAAAGTTTATTTAAATCAACAACAAAACGAAACAGGCGCGGCCACAAATTCCGCTGCTACTTGCCCGGAAACGTCCACAGTATTTCCCATTCTTCGCGAGCGGCGGGTGGCGGATAAAAACGGTGAAAATGAGACCGCTTTGAAGTGGAAATTCCAAGTCGATTGCCGCACGACGACGTCATCGCCAGTCACAAACACACACACACACACACACACACGCGCCGAGACACCGAAACACCAACACAACGACACTAAAGGTGCTCACAGAGAATTCATTGAGATTGTTGTAAATTATGAAAGCAATTTATCAACTGAACCCCGAGCTGGAAACTGGAAATCGAAGGAAGAGCGACAAAAGCGAAGGAAGAAGAACAGCGACTTGAGCTACGGGAGCGGAAGAGATAAACGCGCCTCGATCGGCAGCAGATACACAAGAGAGCGAGAGAGAGAGAGTTGTGCCCATGTACTTGTTGCTGGATAGTTGACCTTTGGGAGCGCCATAATTTAAATCTCGAGTGTTTTTGTGTAAGTACGCTAATTAATTCACGGATAAAATGGCAAAACGCTTTAATGGCAAGCTCATCGTTAAAATAAATGCCCAAGGTAAAAGCCGCAACAATGGATAAACAACAACAACATTAACAGCAGAGAACTAACAGCTCTTGGAAGGTTAACAGACCCATTAGCAGCCACTGTTAAATGCCAAACGTATTAGTAATCAAAACGGTACATAGTGTTTATATTGCTTATCGGCCAAAGGACGCCCATAATTCATATTCATTCACTGAATATTTTCGGGAAAAACTTTCCGCTGCCAAAGCACTTCTAGCTACATATTTTGTTGTTTTCGCTTTTCTCTATTTTTTTTATTATTATTATTATTATTATTTGGCCTGTCATGCGTGCGACAAAATATTAAAAAAGACACGAGGAGGGAAAGATATAGAGGAGATGCCGACGCTATATCCGCCGAGCGACAATCTACGAAAATAAACACACACGAGCCAGCTGAATGGCCTCAACAACCCCCCCTTCCGCCGCTCTGATTCTACGCCCATGACCATGTTTTAGTTTCATTTTCCATTTTTCGAAATAATACCACAATACACACACGCAAAAATAATGACTTTCCTATAATAATTTTGAGGATTTCGGCCTTAATTGTTTGCGTTTTCAGCAACCGTTTGCCATTCGTTTGGATGCAGAGAGAGAAAATATTGCAAATAGTTGGGAACTTTTAGAGATTTGATAGGTTTAGTTTGTTCTCTAGTTTTATTGTCAAAAAGAGCTTTAATTAGTTTGAAATGGCCTTTAGGTGAGTAGGAAATCAAATAACTCGTTCGTCTCTGATTTATAGTAATAGTTTATATATTTATTTATCCATTTCAAGCAATACAGTTTTGTAATCAATAATTTCTATGGAAAACTGTTATTAATAGGTAACCGGGGAGCTGATTTTCCGTATTATTTCAGTTGTAAATTGTTTATTCTTTTTGGTTTTCTCTGTGTATAGTGTTGAATGTTTGTTTATGAATTCGAACGTGTCTGTCGGGTATTTAGGATTCCCATATGCAAACAATTGAAATTATGGTTCGGCTGTTTTTGTTACCTGTTTTTGCCTGCAATTCGGAAATTCGTAATGAGTGATTTTATGAGATTTCGTGCGATTTTCCCCTGCTGTATTTGCATGCAATTGTGTACGGTTTGGAAGTCAACCGTTTCAGTCAGTTTTGCAGTCACTGTGTGCTAATTACTATTCTCGATAAAAGCTTAATGTTTGCCTTGGTGCTGTTGCTGTTGTTGTTGTTGTTGTTGTTGTTATTGTTGATGTTGTAGTTGGTCTTCATTACGCAAACAAAAGATAAGCCACACAATTGCTTGTGGGCAGCAGCTGCTCGAAAGCTCGAAAGTGTCGAGTAAAGCAGACGAACGTGCCAACTGCTGCTCGAATGCTTAATCATTCGCTCATTGGCTCAAAAGCCCATCTCACACACTGACTCATCCACCCATTGAAAAGAACAAAAAAGTAAACAGAAAAAAACAGAAAAACATAAAAACACTAACAATTTCGCATTACTCGAGCTGCCATTGAAAGCGTTGCCTGTTGTTGCCTTTTGTACAGTTTGAGCGGCACTGCAATAAGTGGTTTTCTCCTCCGCAGAAAGCAGTATGGACACCCGCATCGAACTGGAGCTCCAGCCGGTTGGCAAGGAGCAGGAGCAGGAGCAGAAGCAGCCGGAACAGAAGCAACATGAGGATGACACTAAGCCCCAGGAAACGCAGGAGACTGAGGATAACCATCTCCAACAAAAAAAGAGCCTGCTAACGCCCGTTAAGATCATAAATGCCTCGAATCAGTCACCAAGTGGCAACTCCATTCAAGACCTGGAGGGCACACCGCGGACGCCTAGAACGCCGCCCCCGATGAATATGCAGCCGGGAACATCCCGTCAGCTCTTCAGGGACGCCGCTCTAGCCCACGGTGCCCAGGAATCCACAGCTCTGCTGCAGCATGAACTAAACAATATTGCCGCCACCCAGACGCCGGTCTCGAAGCTCCGTAGTGCCAGCTCCACGCTGGATGCCAGTATTTCACGAAATCCCTCCACCACCGGGGGCAAGCATGAGAAAAAGATCGGACACCGGCGAGTGGCCGAGGGTGGCGAGGTGACCTACAAGAAGATCCAGTCCAAGCAGATTATGGGCTCCATACAGCTGGGCATCCAGCATACGGTGGGCAGTCTGGCCAGCAAACCGAAGAGGGATCTGCTGATGAATGACTTTTGGGAAATGGAGACCATATCGTTTCCGCCAGATGGTTCCTCGATTACACCAGCTCATCACTACAGCGATTTCCGGTTCAAGGTGTATGCGCCCATTGCCTTTCGTTACTTCCGGGATCTGTTTGGAATCGCACCCGATGACTTCCTCATGTCCATGTGTGCCTCACCGCTGAGAGAGCTCTCGAATCCAGGCGCTTCTGGATCGATATTTTATCTGACAGACGATGACGAGTTTATCATCAAAACGGTGCAGAAAAAGGAGTGCGAATTTCTGCAGAAACTGCTGCCCGGTTACTACATGAACCTCTCGCAGAATCCCCGAACCCTGCTGCCCAAGTTCTTTGGACTCTATTGCTTTCATTACAACTCGAAGAATGTGCGATTGGTGGCGATGAACAATCTGCTGCCATCGGACATCAAGATGCATGCCAAGTACGACCTGAAGGGCTCATCATTTCGCCGCAAGGCCTCCAAGGCGGAGCGACAGAAGGCTAGTCCCACGTTCAAGGATCTCGACTTTGCCGAGCACCATCCGAACGGCATTTTCCTGGAGACGGACAAGTACAATGCACTGATGCGCACCATACAGCGGGACTGCATGGTGCTGGAGAGCTTCCAGATCATGGATTACTCACTGCTGGTGGGCATTCACAATTTGGACCTGGCCGCCAAGGAAAAGCGGGAGGAGCGCATTCTAAATGCACGAGCCAAGCTGCAGCGCAAGGAGAGCGCCACCCAGGGACCCTCATCCCTAAACCCCGATGACGATGCCCCGGAGGCGGATCAAAATCAACTCCATACGGTGGCCTCATACGCCTCCATTCCGAGCACATCTGCTGGGACAGGGGGAACGGCATTGAATCGCACTCGCAGTATGAATCGTCAGCGTTTGGTGGCTCATTCCACAGCCCTGGAATCGATTACAGCTGACATGGATGTACCTCTGGAGGAGGACGAGGATGTGCCCTCGGGCGGTATACCCGCACGATCGGAGAATGACGAAAGGTTGATCCTATACATTGGCATTATCGATATCCTGCAGTCATATCGCTTGGAAAAGAAGCTGGAGCACACGTTCAAGAGTATCCTGTACAATGGGGACACTGTGTCCGTTTGCCGTCCCTCGTTCTATGCTAAGCGCTTCCAAGATGCCATGGCCAAGCAGGTGTTCAAGAAGACGCCCACATTTCCATTGAAACATTCCCCCTCCAAGCGCAAGACCTCAGCCACTCAACTGTTGCGCTCGCCAGCCTCGCGTCTGCCACCGCTGAGTACTCCGACCGGTGGACGGCAACCGGTCCTGACCATGCTCTCCGGCATGTCGACACCACCGCCGGCCTTCGACGACATCTCCGAGGAGGATATTACGGCAACCTCCACAACGACGCTGCAGCGTCAGCAAAGACAGAACGGCAATAGCCAATCGAACAACAATATCCATGGGGAGATGGAGGGTGCACCAGGTGCAGCAGGTGGTAGCAGCACAACCGGTGGCAGCGGGGAACCTAGCAGCACCTATCATACCCAGTACTCCTACGATGGTTCCATACGGACGGGCAGTGCCCTGACCAGCGACTTTAGCGATGATGAGTCGACGGGACCGGGATTGAGTGGCTCCCGTTCGCCGCTGAATCGTGCCCATCACAGTGTCCAGGTGACGACGGGCTATGTGGAGCAGATACTCCAAGCGCCGCAGGACGAGGCAGAGCAGGTGCATGCAGATGTCAACGGCAAGGTCACGTTGACAACCAGCACAATGACGACCACAAAGACGGCTCACATTCAGGGACCCAGCTACACATCCACGCTCGTGCTCAACGACCTGCCGCGCTGAGACTGGAAGCGGGACTGGCATTGGGTGTACATGGTCCTTCAGCAAGGATCCACATATATGTACAGCTTTCGGGTATGTGTGTGGGTGGGGGGGCTTGTAAGGTGTAAGAGCGCCAGTCTCCCCATCTCGAAACAAAACAAAAAAAAAAAAGAAAGAAATGGAAATACTGAAAACGAGCTCGTTTATCTTGATTAAACACAAAAACCAAAAACGAATACGTATTCGATATTAAAATTTATGTGGCGCCTGTGCTAATTGACTGCCAACCAGCCACGCCTCTCAGATGCCGATGCCGCCGCCCCCTCCACACACACACACACACACACACATACAGCCTAGGAAAATTTATAAATATTATTTGGCTTTATGTTTTTTTTTCTTTCTGTTGTTTTTGCGTTTGTGTGTGGCCTTAACTGAACTTTGTTTTAAAACCTCGAAATCATTGTGAACGGGAATCAAACTACTTGGACGAAGTGGAGATGCTGGGGGGGAGGGGATCAAAAAGACGAGGAGAAAACTCAGTTATTGTCTTTAAATCTATAAATATCTATGTATGTTGCTGTATTATAAAGTGCGTTTACGTATTCTAAGATGCTCATGTAAATAAACGAAACGATAAATAAATATATATATATATACATTTTATACGCCCAATGTCCAGTGTCCTTGGGGGACGGGGGACGGGATTTTCCGGGCGCTGACACTTATTGGAGCTCTGTCTGCGGCTGACCATAAATCACTTAATGATTTTCAATGTTGCTATTAAGCACCGTTAATTTTTATCGCCTTGCAGCATTGTTAAGCCTCTCCAACCAGCCAGCCGGCGTCAATTGTGCAATATTTATTGTGCCAGCGAAAAAGGATTTCCCCGGTTCGAAATTGTAATGTGGGCATGGAGCTAACAGAGAGAGCTCTCCATTAATTAGCCCATCGGTCCAGGGACAGTGATTTTCATTTTGTGTATCCCGTGATTCGGGATACCAAAAAAGAAGGGGGATATTTAGTGATATATGAGCATGGAATGGGAGTCTTAAATGGCGAAATTATGGCCTATTAAATTGAACTATTTTATATTATCAAAAAATACCTAATAAAACGTGAAAGAGTCAAGATCAGTGGTATACTATGTTAAGACCCCAAATATGTACAGAATTTAAAGAGTGTTAAATTTTTAAAATGTTTGACAGAATTTATAAATTATTTTATAATCTATAAAAAGAATGGGATTCTTTTGATAGTCATTACCCAAAAAGGATTCTTTTAATTATAATAATTAGCATTTTAAAAGTTGACTTCTCACATCCATTTACATACAAATGTAAAATAATCCTTATTACATAAAATTACGCAAAAAAACAATATTATTACGAAATGCGTTAGAAACATTTAATACTTTTTTTTTATTCATATTTAACTGTAAGTGGGCAGCAAATATTTGTTGGGTTTTTATTGTCGTGCATTTCGTACTAATTGAATACAATTTTAATTAATTGCTTAATGAATTCGATAAATATGCGTGTGCAGCGAAGAGCGTGGTGCTTGTGTGTGGGTGCATTGACCGTAGGGAAAAATTGCAGAAGAAAAAAAAACAAATACATTTCGTCCTTTATTTATTTCATTTTGTTTACTTGAAACAAACACTTGGTCAATATTTGCACTGAGAGTGAGGCAGAAGTTGACCAAATGCCACATTTGTGGGCCAAAAAAAGAGTGAGTGATAGAGAGAGAGAGAGACAGCTATAGCGTGAGAGGTCAGAGTTCACTGGGCATGCAAAATAAACTTCCCCACTCATGCATAACACAAATAGTTGCACTCTCTCCCACCGAAAGAGGTGCTGCCAACAAGTTCCTCTTAATACATATGTATGTATGTCACATTATGTAATTATGGCAAAAACAAAGTTTAATAAATATGTAAACTGCAAAGTGCAGAAACCACACAAAATTAAACAAAATGAAACACGAGTTCGTTGGGTTTTGCGATGTCACACGAAAATTGTTTTGCAGCATAATTAGTTTATTCCATTTGCATAATAGAGACCCGATGCCGCACTCTGTGAATGCTTTGTCCATTCGGTTTTCACTCCAGTCCATTTCCATTCCCCCCTGACCACCATGTCCTCCGCTCCCCCCACCCAGAAATTCATTTGCATTTCCAGCATTCAGGAGGCAGGTGCTGCGCCCCTTCTTTATGCTTATAACTCAACAGATTTGGCCTGTAAAATCTGCATAAATGGCCCACAATTTGGGGCATTCACATCAATTATTTAGAAATTATTGCACCGTAATGTATACACAGTGGAACAGTTGGACACCTGGCCGGCCATATGCTAAATATCATTTTGATGGGCCTCGAGTCTCCTTCAACTTTCCAGCTTTCCCTTGAATCACTCGAGTTGAGATGAAATTTTAAATGGGAATTGGGGGGGGGAGTCAGTCCCAGCATTTCATTGATTAAAATAATGATTTTTATCAGTTTCGGGCGGAAATTTAATGTTTTTGTAACGGATATTACGTCAATGTTCAGGCATGTGTGTGTGTGTCTGCTCTCCCCTCGTAGCAGCGGGATGAATGACCCCGGAATAACCCGAGTGTATTGGCAATGAATCCAGCAGTCCAGCCAAGCGGCAATTGCATTAAATTTAATGAATTTTAAGCCTGTTAAACGAATGAGTTCAATTTATTTAAATTATGGACACTACTGATATCCCCTTCATTTCTCTTTCTCTCCATTTCAGGCATGTCCTTCCAGCGTAGCTACAGCAAAGTGTGGTGGGGCTCGGAGCAGTCCTCCCTGACCAGCGGCGGCATCTATTCGAGCTTCAGTGGCAGCCACTCGTCCGGAGCGCAGAGGCAACCCGCCTCCCTGGGCCCGTTGGGCAATCTCTCCTGCATCCAAGAGGTGGAGGATGAGCAAAATAGCTCCAAGCTATCCTGGCACAAGCACGATAGTCCCGGCAGTCTGCGCAGTCAGGTGAGCATATTATTGCAATCCATTTGATTGTACAACCCAGAGGCGTTATTCCAATTTAAGTTGAGGAAAGCTCCGATTAGTGGTGGCTTTAAGAGGCTTTAGTTGCTATAATTAGGCAGACTTTCATTGTGTAATAAGGAAATTGAATACCCTTTCACTTATTCGCAGGATTCGGGTTTTTCGGACAATGAGGAATCACATCAGCTGCAGCATCGCCAACAATCACAATCCCCGCAATCGCCTCAGTCGGATGACAAGCAAACCCCCACGGCCACGCCCACCTCGGTGCGTTCCGTGGCCACGCCCCCAACTGTGGTACGCCGCGTGGGCAACTCAGCGTTCTACTCGCCGCTGATCAGTGTCTCCCGCCGGATTTCGTTCACCAGCGGCCAAAAGACGCCAAAGGCGAAATCTGACAAGCAAGAGGAGGAGGCGGAAGACCAGGACGAGGAGGATGCTGTGGATGCGGAATTGGCGGCTAGCCGCAGTCGGCTTTTCGAGCAACTGGATAGCATAAAGCTGGACGATGAGGCGGAGCTTGTGACGGCGGAGGAGGATTCACCGCCTCCACGTCCGGCAATAAGACGCCGTCGGCGAATTATGCGAAAAGCCAAACCGGAACCGGAAGAGGGTTCGGCCACCGAGGAGGAGGAGCAAGAGCAGGTTTCTGCGCCACCACCGCCTCCATACAATAACGAGACCGTTTACTTGGGCGAGGCACCACCGCCCTACAACAACGAGACCGTGACCTTTGGCACCATCGAGCAGGACGAGACCCTGCAGCCCCAGCCCTCTCCCCTAAGAGTGAGTGCTCTGCGATTCACGGCCAGCACAAGTACACCAAAGACGCGCTCGAGGATCGCAAAGAAGACGAGAAAACATCCAGAGCCCGTGACCAGTTGGATGCAGGAGCAGCGCTGGGCCGGAGAGCCGGAAGTGATGTGCACCCTGCAGCACAAGTCCATTGCCCAGGAGGCGTACAAGAACTTCACCATCACCACAAGTGCGGTATGCAAACTGGTGCGGCAACTGCAGCAGCAGGCTCTGTCGCTCCAGGTGCACTTTGAGCGCAGCGAGCGAGTGCTCAGCGGACTGCAGGCCAGTTCCCTGCCGGAGGCCCTCGCTGGAGCCACTCAGCTGCTCTCCCACCTGGACGACTTCACCAGCACGCTGGAGCGTCGTGCGATATTCTTCAATGATGCCAAGATCGAGAGGAGACGCTATGAACAGCATCTCGAGCAGATCAGGACGGTGAGCAAGGACACGAGGTACTCCCTGGAGCGGCAGCATTACATCAACTTGGAGTCCCTGCTGGATGATGTGCAACTCCTAAAGAGACACACTCTGATCACGCTTCGCCTGATCTTCGAGCGATTGGTTCGCATTCTGGTGGTCAGCATCGAGCAGAGTCGCTGTGATCTGCTCCTGAGGGCCAATATCAATATGGTGGCCACTTTGATGAACATTGATTACGATGGCTTTGCCTCCTTGTCGGATGCCTTTGTCCAGAACGAGGCAGTGCGTACTCTCCTGGTGGTTGTGCTGGATCACAAACAGAGTTCCGTGAGGGCCCTGGCTCTTCGAGCACTGGCTACCTTGTGCTGTGCTCCCCAGGCGATCAATCAGCTCGGGAGCTGTGGCGGCATTGAGATCGTTAGGGACATTCTCCAGGTGGAGTCTGCCGGCGAGAGAGGAGCCATCGAGCGCAGGGAGGCGGTATCCCTACTGGCCCAGATCACAGCCGCCTGGCATGGACCAGAGCACCGAGTGCCCGGCTTGAGGGATTGTGCCGAGAGCCTGGTGGCTGGATTGGCTGCCCTCCTGCAACCGGAGTGCTGTGCCCAGACATTGCTCCTCTGTGCCGCTGCCTTAAATAATTTGAGTCGAATGGAGGCCACCTCACACTACTCCATAATGTCCAACGAGGCCATCTTTCGTTTGATTGATACCCTGGAACACCAGGACTGCGGCACCAGTGTTTTTCTCTATGTAAGTAGTGTTTATTATGATTGAAAACTATCTAAGCTCATTTATAAATTCATAAACAGAATGTACACATTTTTCCTCGTTATTAAATTCTAACTAAAATGCAAAAACCAAAATCCCAACAGGCCAGCCACTTTTCCGATAAAATTTTAATTTCCTGAAATAAATTATCCTCTCATGTGCAGCTTTGCAATCAACAATTAAAATTCTCTTAATAAACAAATTTACCGAATCGATATAAATATATTACAACGCAAAAATGGCAACTAATTTAAATTCATTTGAAAGTAATCACCAATAAAATATTAGTAATCACAAATTTAACTTATTTTTAGGATGAAACTTAATTCAAATGAAATGCTTTCAATACATATAAATTAATATAGAAAATTTAAGAGAATATTTAATGAATTTTCATGGCAACAAATGTAAGGCCTGAAAAACCTCCCTATATCCTTTATATCCTTGTGTTTCCGAACCTGACCTTGGATTGGAGCCGCCTGAATCGATTTCCTGCAATTTTTTGGGCAATTTTATTGAAAGCTTCTCGGAGCGTTGGCTCGTAAAATTTATTTGTGCATTTGCAAAGCAATTTTTTCGCAATCTTGGCCACGATTTTTCATTTGGCCCAGGCCTCGTCCCAAATATACACACACACACACACACACACACCCACTTTGAGTTGCTTATTTTTTACTCATCAACATTTGCCACCCTCTCTCTCTGTTTTATTTCATCCGCACAGGAGCAGATCGTTGGGATGCTGCACAACATGTCGCTGAACAAGAAGTGCCACAGCCACTTGGCCAACGGCGTCATCATAAATTTCATCACGTCCGTGTACCAAACGGAATTCTACAAGACCTACGGCTCACGTGCGGAGAGCGATGCCCAGCGCCGCAGCATCAAGACCATTCTGCACACGCTGACGCGCCTGGCCAGTGATTCGCCCACGCTGGGAGCGGAGCTCCTGGAGCAGTGGCATCTGCCGGATCTGCTGCGCCAGTCCTTGGCCCTCAAGCCGCAAGTCGCCTCGGCCATATTGACTTCTCCCCAGCAGCAGCACGGCAGGGATATATCCCAGTTGGGGCGACAACTGCTCGGTGTCCACCAGCAGGAGCAGCAGATGCTGGCCACTCCCGTGCCGGTGGGCTCCTTCTCCAGTGGCCATCAGATGCCCGAGGCCCAAACGCAGACCAGTTCCAGTGCCAACTCGAAAACCAAGGCCAAGTCGGCGTCGTCGACGTTGCTCAAATTCAATTTAACACGTCAGGAGAGTTTCGTCTAGTGTTCACCACCTGAGTAGAGTTTATTTTGGAAGGATAAGGGAGCTACACGGAGAGAAAATGTAACAATCTATGCTTATTAACTATCTAATTACTCTTTATATTAGCCACATAATCTTAAAGCCAAATCACTTTCCTTAAAGCTTATTGCTATTATTTATTGAAATTGATTTAAAACATAAAACTCAATTAAATTATCCTGTAAAGTAGTAAGACACTACAAATAAAAGATGCGTAACGCACAGCTTTACAATTTATTAATTAACCTATTAATACTTCAATGTGGCTGTGCGTTGTTATTCAATTTTTATTTGACTATAATATCATAATTTCCTTCAGAAATTACTTATTTTTCTACCAAAAATACCCCGAAATTTCACACATATTTTGCAAAGATTTTCTCTCTGTGCAGACACGTCCTTTGACCGGACACAAGCCGGAAACGCAGACGTGCGTCAAGTGTTATTACTTTGTCTAGGATGTTGCGTGACCCGTTTGGCCTCGCTCTCGCTCGCACCTCTCCTCCCCTCTCGCTTCAACGTTATCCTTGCTGCTGGATGTAAACGAAGTAATTTTTATATTTCCACTCAGGCAAACAAAACAAACTAAGGGGGCGGGGCAACGAGCAACAAAATAAATAGAAATACAATTTTTTTGTTTGGTTATTTTTGCTGTTGCCGAGGCAACTTTGGTATTCTTGTGTGCTCATAACAAGAATGCTCTTAAAGTGCTTTCTCTCTCTCTCTCTCGACAACCAGATTTGTTTTATGTTTTATTCAATGCAAATGCAACTTTGACATTTTGCATTCTCATTGTAAATATTTTTCCCCCGATCCCAGTTCGAAAACCAAACCCATACGGCTGGCAATTTAAAAACCAAAAACTCGGAAAATTCCTTAGATGTAGGAGCAAAGTCCTTTGTGCCAAATAAACTGAGAAGAGCAAAATTCAAACAATTTATTTGTTCAGTACTTAAAGCAATTGTATTGCATAACACACACTGTATTATATATGTATGTATGTATGTATGTATCTAGACTAAGTTTATTATAAGACTAAACATTAAAATTACACATTGCTTACATTGTAATTAATGCGATGAAATAAAACGTTGAGTTGTTTAAACTACAAATTTTTAAGTGATTTGTTTGTAGGTGAAAAGTGGTTTGAAATATGATATTTTTTGATGGATTTTAGGCATAATTGGTTATCGGTTTAATAGTTTCTTAGACCAAGCTTATCCTGAATACTTCAAAACATAAAAGATAAATGTTTAAATACAAATGGAAAAGCGAGTGCAATATTATTATTTGCAGATATAAATTATCATTGAATTTCCCTATCTTTAGCTTTAAGGTTTAAATGAATACAAATATCCACATGGTTTAATGCTTATAAAGTCGAAACAATAGATTGATGTAAATGTTCATTGGATTTATACTGTAATAACAGGGAATTACTGGCAAATTCAACAAACATTGTGCTCTCTGCTCTCAAAGCTGTTTTGCTTTTCCCCTGACTAGTTCTCTTTTATATTCTTTTGTTCACAACATTATGTGTGCTTTGTAGCAGTAGAACAAGCTTACGGTGGTTAGACACACTTTTACTGTTATCCCTGTCCGGGCTTCCTGCCCCCTCGTCCTGCGGAAAAATTCTCACATCGCCCGGAGTCCGAATGAAAACATACAAAAGTAAATACTGCACTGATCGCCATCTCGGCGTGCAAATCCACAGATTCCCACAGACTCACTCTCGCACTTTATCGGACATTGGAAATCAGAGCTTAGTGTGTGTTAGTCCTGATGCTGTGAGTGTGTGTGTGTGTGAGTGACAGGAGACAAGCGATTTATTCCTGGAAAGCAAAGCTGGAAGCTGAAGGCCAAAGGAAAGTTAAAGGGTTTAAAGCCGTTAAGCGATTTTAAATAGTTTTATTACATATTTTTATAAGAGATAAAGGGTTTCATCAACTTTAAAAAATAAGTGTAGTTTTTCAAGATGAGTAAATGAAAATAATATTATTTAAAGTATGTTAGTTTGTGCTATATATCAACATTTAACATTTTCTACCATTAAACAAATACAAGCTACATTTAGAAAGAAAATTATGTTTGCAATAGTCAAATAATATATTCGTTTTTCAATATCAGAAAAGCAATTTAGTTTGAATATTTTCTATTTAAAAATGAATAATAAGACCCCTCTCTTAAACTCTCAACCAAGAGGAATTCTATATTTTCTGTGACTGTGGAATATTTTCAGCAAAATTCAATATTTTTTTAAATAAAGAGAAACTTTTCCAAAACTCTTTATCAACCCAGTTCTAAGTAGTAAAATATTTCATAACCTGTGAGTCACTGAAGTAAATCCATCCATATTTTATCTCGGTTTGGATTCCTTATTTAAATAGGGTAGCTCAAACTATGCAAAACGCTTTGGCCTGGCTTAGATGTCAAAAAGCGTGCTAACTTCACATCCTCCATTCAGCTGCAATCCCCTCACTACGAAATCCTTCCTTGCCTGTCGATATCCGAATCGGGCATAAACAAGTTCTTTAGAGTAGATTGAAGTTTTATAATGTTGGCATATTTTGCATGGCTGAGCCTGGAATGAGCAAAGATGTGTGTGTGTGTGTGTGTGCTTCCATTGAAATGTGCCACACACACACACACATAAGCGGAGAGAGAGAATCCTGAGACCCTGTCCCGAGCTTGAGTGTGTTTGCTTGTGGCATGCGGAATGCCCGACTCAGATCCAAAGTGTTGCGGCATTTGATGCCTTCTTCCATATGTGTGTGTGTGTGTGTGTGTGTGTGTGTGTGTGTGTGCGTATTATGACAAGTATGGCTGACATCTGCGAGGGGGAGGGGGGGCAAGCGGAAAGCAAGGAAATAGTAAAGAAACAGGATCTTAGCCAGAGGTGCACACACAGGACATATGCGACGAAATGTCCGAGACCAAAAACTTGTTCTATAAAACACTTTTGCAGTAAACTTTAACGGGCACTCGCTAAGGATATTCTTTGTGTTTGTATTAATATATATTTCAAACTTTGATTTAATACACGTAAAAAACTTTAATATAAATTGAAGATTTGCTTGCTGAAGTCTAAAATTTAATAAATATTTAAAACGTTAAAAGAAGGTAAGCTTTATATCTAATTTAAAAACATATTTATACCATATGAAGATAAGATGTCTAAATCATTTATAATTCAAGATCCTTTCAAGATGTCCTTAGAGGTATCGTGTCCCCTGGCTCATCACGTGATCATCTCTCCTCCTGGAAAACCACCTTATGCCACGTGGAAAGCGACCCATTGACCTCGACTCTAGTCTCCAGTCTAAAGCCCGTTTATCGTGACTGGCTTATCTATATGTGTGCTCTATAGGTGGAGTGGCAAGGGAAGGGGGGTCTGTGGCACTGCTTTCATGATTTTTATAGCATTTGTTGCTGGTGCAGGAAGTGCCTTTAGTGATTTCCGCATGTGCCCGCCTCGGTCCTGTTTACACAGCGAGCATATTGCGGTTGACACATTTTGTGCGTTTATGTTTTTGAAATGTGTTCGCTTTTCCTCTTTTTTTTTTTGTATTTTGTATTTTTCTATTTTTTTCTGGTTTCTGTTTTCCTTTCCCCACCGACTTTAAAGTGCCCGAGACCGGAATAAGAACGCTTCAGACAAACGCCATGAAAAATGCATGGAAAGGGTGGGGAAAAACACGTTTCCAAGAGGCAAAAGCTGGCAAGTGAAGCGTAAACAAACGATTTCTGAAACAATTATGGGCTAAATAGTTGGGAGAGTGCCTGGGACGAGTTCTTGTGTCATAATTAGGGCCTTTTGCACGTGCTCAGGGCGGCGGCAATGCGGCGATAACAGTTGGCCCCAAAAACTTTTCCGACCACTATCAACAGCTAAAAGCGTTAAAAGTTGCCACTTGGGCGAAAGTTGCACCTCCGAAGCGGCGGCAGTGCAACAATGATGGTGCAACAGCGGCAATCAGCCGGCGAAACTCCATGTCCTGGAAGCCACAACAAAGGGGGGCGGCACCACGAAGCCAAGTTACTCTGTCAGAACTGTGGATGGATCTGCCCGTGTTAAATTGTCTCTAAAACCAAGTCGGTGGATGGATTCCTTGTATTCTGTGGTCCTGGTAAAGTTCAGATTCGTTGAAGGTAAATTGTTTTAGATATAAAGTTAGAGGAGTTATCAAGCAACTTGTTTCTGCATTTGCATTCAATTATTTATGAAGATCTTTGTTTATATGAATGGATGGAAAATAGTAAACAACTTTTAGTGGAGAATATTTATGAAATAAAATAAAAATCAAATTGAAATCATTACAAAAATATCCTTAAGCCTTCGGGTGAGAGATCCATTAAAGTTCACTGCCAGGATAAACTCTCAACCTCTACCCGCAGAGGTGGATGCCCCAGCCTGGGAGATAATAGGGCCTGGGATAAGTTTTTACGTCACTCCACTTAGGGGCTGCAGTTACCATAGGCACTCATGCTGAAGCCAAGGACATGCAGGATGTGAGAACTGCACTTAAATGCAACTCCTGCAATGTTTTCCTTACACTCCTTTTTTTTCTGAACAGCAAGCTTATCAGACTTTTGCCGCCGGGCCACACTTGGGTTACTTCCTCAACCGTAGTTCCTCTTCCACATTTCCCTCCCACACATGAGATTTACTCCGACTTCGGGGACTTCAGTGCAATTAGGATAAAGCGCGAAGGGCGAGTTTGAGTGCCGGGCTTTGAGCTCCACTTTTGATGCGGCTATAAACGAGTTGTCATTATTAATGCCGGCCCACCGCCCACCGCCCACTTTTCCTTTTTCCGCCCTCCCCCTATAAACCAAAGCATTATTAACTGTGGAGAGAATGGATTGCGTATACGCAACGTGTCCCCCGAGTGAGAACTTTTGCCGCAGGCCGATGGGGGCCCAAATCCTTTGGCATTATCATGCGATTATTAGCCAATATTTTATTTCGCACCATTTCTTACACCATTTGCTTCACAGCCATAAGCATACACATTACTTTGGCTCCGCTCTTGGCAAGGTCATAAATTTTATTTGTTGCAGCAAAGGGTTGTAAAGCGTCGCCATTATGTTTGCTATGTGTTCGTTTTTTCTGTTTTTTTTTGGGGGGTTTCGTCCTGGTTTTATTTGCCTCGCACGCAGACGTGCACAAGATGCGTCAAAAATCGAGTGGGGTGGGCGGGGGCCCCGCCTGGGCGTGGCAGCTGAATTTATGGCCGCAAATTGATTGTAAGTGCATAACGAAAACTGGAGAATTTCCCGACTGTTTCTGTTTGATTCCTGTTCAAGTGTGGCATTGTTTGCCACCGAAAAACAGCAGTTATCAAGGGGGGAAGGGGTGGCTGTTGGCCATGGTCGTAGGCTGAGCACCCTTGGCTTGGCCACAAAAACAATCAAAACTGTTGACCGCAATTCGCAGCAATTGGTTTTGCCATTCGTTTTTTGCCAGTTTTTAGCTCTGCGGTTATGCGATCCAGGGGGGGAAATCGAGGGGCGGAAGTTATGTTTGCCACAGTTTTCCAGAGATATGAAACAAGACAGGCAAACAGCTTCATTGTTGCTCAGCTTTATTGTTGTCTTTT